CCCGCGCGCTCGCCGTCGCCACGACCATGTAAGGGCCATGAGAAGGGCTGGTCCTGGCGCAGCGCGGACATGGAGGAGGACCTGTTCCAGCTCAGGCAGCTGCCGTGAGTGCCGGGCCCGGGCGCGGGCAGGCGGGGTCACCGCGAAACCTGCGGCGGGGACCTGTCCGCGGGGCTCCAGGGTGGAGGGGGAGCGCGCTCGGCGGAGCGCAGAGGCCCGAGGAGACGAGCCATTTTCCTTCCCCGCAGCCCCGCGCGCTGTCCCTGACTCAGTCCGTTTCCTGCGCTGGCAGCCGCTGCCCAGAGCCAGCCGTGGGCTCAGGTTTTCTCCTTGACTCGCTCCGGATGCTCCAGGGACGCTGAGGTCTCTGCTGTCGCCGCTGCTGCGGGGGAATGGGGGCTGCACGGATGGGTCCGTGCGGTGACAGCGGTCCTCCCCAGCCCTGCGGCGCCGCGAGGTCCCCGCGGTTCCTGCAAGGTGTCGTGGGAAGCCGGGAGAGGAGGTCGCAGGCTGGTTTTTGAGAAGCCAGGGCTCCTTCCCAGAGGAGAGGCTCTGGGCAGAGTCCTGTGGTTCCTGGGGGTGTGTGAATGGAGAGGGCTGTGGGCACGGCCGCCCAAGCCTCTGCCGCCTTCTGAATGAGAGACCTGTCACAGCTAGAGTGGGACTCACCCCGGAGACATCCGGCAGGCATTCTTTTTGAGGAAGAGAATTTTTCAGGGATGCCACATTTGCTCCAGGGATCTTGGGGGACCGTGCACCAAGCAATGGGAAGGCTAGGGCCTTGCAGAGGGGCTTAGGGATTTTTCCTGCTGCAGCGGGTGAGGCGTTTTAAGCAAATTCCGAGAGTAGGAGAGAGGTCCTTAAAAAGAACATTTCTGAGGGTTTGGTTTTGATTTTTAGAATCACTGGCCGTTTGGATGGTAAAAGCATGGAAAGGTTACGTGATGGTTAGCATGAGTGTATTTTCTTTAAAAAATGGTGTGCATTCTCCTCTGAGCTCCCCAGGAATTCTCCCAAGTGACTTTTAGTGTGGCTGATACAGCTCTCTGAGGCTCCGAGTACTGAAAGGGGTTGTAATGTTTCCTTCTTAATCAGTGTAAAATTAATTTTCATGTAAAATCTTTATTAATTTAAATTTTGAGCTTATTAATTGGTCCACAAATCTCATGACTTATGAATCTATAGCCTTATTTCATAAATGCTAAAGGATGCCTAGTTATAAGGTCCAGATATGTGACTATATAAAAATGAAAATGTCTGAGGGCAAATGGATCAAGGAAAACATGCCACTTTCATAGGAAATAAACAGTGTGGTCAAAAACCAAACTATTATCCTAAAGTAAAAGATGGTTCAAAAAATGGAAAGAAAAATCATGGTATTTGGAATAAGAATATATATTGGAACTCCAGATTTAATGGGATATGTTTTCAAACGATGTCCAGACCATGTGAACTTTGCAGAAGATGTATGTATATTTAATCTACTAATATAGAGATATCATCATAACAATTCTATGCTCAATTTAAAAGGAGTAAAAATAGGTGTGGGGGTGGAGCTCATGGAGCAACACTTGCTGGGGAGGCACAAGGCCCTGCATTTGATCCCCAGCAACACACACACGCGCGCACACACACACACACAGAGTAAAAATAGGAAGAGGCTTTTTACTTATTGAAAATAAAAAATTAATTTGGTTTTAAATATGCATAGATTATATAACATATATAAATATAGTAAAGCTCAGAGAGAAACACTAGAATGAAAAGTGATTCTCCCTCTTCCCAAACCCCAGTTCTATCTCCAGAGTTGTCTCTTGATTATTCTTTCTGAATTGTTTAAAAATGATTTTATTTTTTAAAAAAACTCAAATGGAGCACAACTTTTCATTTCTCTGGTTGTGCATGATGTAGAGTCACACCATTCATGAAGTCATACCCATACGTAGGGGTAATAATGTGCATCTCATTTCTACCATCTTCCCCCCTCCACGTTCCCCCTCCCCTTTCTGATGTTTGATAGACATAATGTCTATTAGAGAGGTCAAATGGTATACTGCGAGGGAACATGGGCTCTGAGCAGACAGACTTGGGTTCAACTCCTGACCCTGACACTTCCCATCTGGGTTACTCTAGTGGAGTGGGTTAGCCTTTCTGATACTCAGTTTCTCTGGGTATAACAATCAGTATCTTGGGGTAGGGAGTGTAGCTCAGTGATAGAGTTCATGCTTCGTATGCACAAGTCTTGGGTTCAATCCCCAGCACCCCCCAAAAAATATATATCAATAATAATAATTCTTGAATCCTAGAATTATTATAAAGATCAAATAAGATACAGAACGCTCAATGCTTGGCTGATACAAAGCACCCAACACTTTACCAGCTATTGCTATTAATACATCTGAAAAATCATTGATAAAAAATAAAATCTCTAGGTTCACTAATGCTGGACTCCCCAAATTGTACTTTGAAAACCCCAAACTACATTTGAATGAAGTCAAAATTAGCCCTGAAATGTGTTGACCTCAATTTATATATATAAAAAAAAAAGTAAGCTAAAGAAACAGCTGTGCGAATCTGAGTGGGTTACAAATCACGACTTAGATGTTTTTAAACCACACCCTACATATATTATGCACAGATTGCAGGCAACAGATTTCCTGAGAGCAATATGGTTAAAAAAAAAAATTCCAAGTGCCTCAGAGAGGGTTGGCAGGAGTGGACTTTGGAACAGACTCCGTCCTGTGGGAGGCCAAGTGTTAATAGATTATAAGCCACTAAGTAGTTTATGGGTTATGGGAAGGGGGGAAAGGGGATAAGGTGCCTAAGAAAACAGTCCTTCCTTGCATTTGGGGGCACCTTCACATGGCTCTGGAGTGGTTCATTTGAGACTGCAAATAACCCTTGTCTTCCACCTGCTATTCACTCGGGGACGGGATCATGTACAGGAGATCCAGGCAGCTGAGAGTTTTTTTTTATATCCACTTCTGCCTTATTATGTGCCCTTGTGTAAGTCAGACTTCTTTTTAGGTCCCTCTTTTCTAGAATGGTCTCTTGAAAACAAGTTTTTCAGACCACATCCATGCATGGATGGGTGAATAGTTGGATGAATGGATGGATGGATTCCTTGGGTACCATCCTCAGTGCAAAGGATTCTACAGCTAAATAAGGCAGAATGGGCTGGGTGTGGTGGCGCATGCCTGTCATCCCAGTGGCTTGGGAGGCTGAGACAGGAGGATCGTGAGTTCAGAGCCAGCCTCAGCAAAAGTGAGGTGCCAAGCAACTCAGTGAGACCCTGTCTCTAAATAAAACACAAAATAGGGCTGGGGATGGGGCTCAGTGGTCCAGTGCTCCTGAGTTCAATCCCTGGTACCAAAAAAAAAAAAAAAAAAGAATGGTCCTTGTCCTTAAGGATATCACAGTCTAGAGCTGCAGTGTCTGATATGGTAGCTGCCAGCTAACTGTGGTTATTCAAGTTGAAGCCTAAATTAGTTTCAATTATGTAATTCATGTGAAATATTTAATAGCATAATATACTATGTAAAATCAGTCCCTCAATCATTTCACATGCTTTTATTTTTTTTGCCTTTTGATATCAGGAATTGAACCCAGGGGCCTTCAATCACTGAGCCACATCCCCAGCCCTTTTAAATTTTTTTTTTTTTTTTTTTTTAGAAACAGGGCTTGCTAAGTTGCTTAGGGGCTCACTAAGTTGCTGAGACTGGCTTTGAACTTGTGATCCTGGCTCAGCACCCCCAGCTGTGCACCACCATACCTGGCTGTCATTTCACAAGCTTAATGGCTACAAGTGACTAGTCGCTACTGTTTTGAGCAGCCTAAGTCTAGAATATTCCTATAGTTGCAGCAATTTCCCAAATTCTGTTGACCAGCACTGCTCTGGTGAACCAGGTGGACACTGAACACCTCGTGGCACAAATAGTGATGAGAATTGTCTGAAGAGCTCTCACTGTGCAGTGTAAGGAGGCTTGTTCTGGAGGATCAGGGAAGGCCTCATGGAGGAAGTGACATCTGAGTTGAGCCCCCAGAGATACGTAGGAGTCATCTAGGAAATGAGATAGGATGAGCCGGGCACAGCGGTGCACATGCCCAGAATCCCAGTGACACGGGAGGCCGAGGCAGGAGGATCGCACGTTCACGGTCTCCCTGGGCAACCTATAGAGGCCCTGTCTCAAAAATTTTAAAAATAAAAAATAAAAGGACTGAGGATGTAGCTCAGTGGCAAAGTGCCCCCTTGGTTCAATCCCCAGTACCCCCAAAAAAGTATGAATATTTCCCTTGGAGGGGAAATATGGGTGAAAGCCCTCAAGAGGAACAGCACTGGGTGTGTCTCAGGATCGGCCAGTGGAGCCTAATGAAGCAGTGACTCAAGGGACAGCTGCAGAGGACGGCAGGGACCTCATCCTCCCTCTCCTTTCCTACAAATCCTCTTTCAAGATGGAGCTCAAGTTCCGGATCTCAATGAACCTTCTTCCCCCTGACTTCTGCTGGACTTAACCAGTAACACAAGTAAAACACGGGATCGGGTTAGAGCCCAGCTCCTCCAGGGCCTTCTTGGTGGCCTTGGGAGAGTGATTCCTCTGCCCAAGGCTGGTGTTCGTCTGTGAAGACAGGAGCTCCAGCTATCTGCTGCCCGCTCCTGGTCTCCGTGTTGTGAGGCCCAGGAAGATAACTGCTGAGAAGCTGTCAGCAAAAGGGCCTGGCTCAAGGTCAGGGCTCAGGGGAGGTGCTGGTCCTCCGTGGGTTTGTTCCTCTGATCATCGTCCTCGGCTTGGTTGGGCAGTCGGGCCCCTGACGCTCTGGACTCCCTTGCAGAACCATGTTGGATGTGATGCAAAGATGCACGTTTGAACTTGAACTCTTGACCTCTCCTCCCCTCTCCTCTTTCAGCAACTCCCAGCTGTACCTGATGGTCACACCATCCTGCCCATTTGGTCCACTTAGACCCCTCTCTCCCCCTCGCCCGTTGGTCCTGCCTGCCAGCGTCACCTGGTACTCCGATCCTCTCTCTGCCTCGACCGTGATCTCCTGGATCGAGTCCTCATGCTCTCTCACCAGGACTGACCGCCGTGGTCTCCCTGTTACGTCC